ATAAATAATGAAATATGATAAAAAAAATGATTTGACATAATACAATGAAATTAAAATAATTTATTATGAAGAAGTCAAATTAATGAGTGAATTAAATTTTAAAATTTTAAAAAAATTATAACAAATATTTTAAATATAATGTGAAACATGAAAAAAAATGAATTGATATAATATAGTGAATTATTGTTAATTTGATATGAAGAAGTGAAATTGATCGAGGGAATTAAATTTGAAAACATAAGAGAAATGGAAAAAAAATTGCAAATATAAAACGAAACATAATTTGAATGGATAAACATGTTTTTAACTCCAATTTACAGTATTGCAATAAAGTGAAACTAAATAATATTACATAACTAATCAATAGATAAGCTATGGATAATTTGGTCTCTGATTGCATCACGGACGCGATTCATATGCGATGAAGACTGTGATGTAGCATTTGAAGATGATGGTTGACTAGCTTCAGCCTGATCATGTTCGCCCACATTATTACCATTTTCAGCTTGTTCAAAAAACAAGTCGGAGCTCGAATGTCTCCTTATAAGGTTATGAATGGCCATTGTTGCACAAACCAGATACACTTGTGTTTGGAAGTCGTAACTGCGCATATTTCGGAGGACTTGAAATCTATTCTTCCAAACACCGAATGTTCTTTCTATTGTGCACCTTAAACTGGAATGATAATAATTAAAGGCTTCGTTGCTATTTCGGAATCCTACTTGTCGTCGAAAGTCTGGAAGGTGGTAGCGCTCAGATCTGTATGGACCTAGATATCCATTTGGTGTTGGATATCCCGCATCAACCAAGTAATATTTCCCTAATGATTCATGAAACAATTTGAGAGATTGTGAAATGAATAAAAGTATGAAATAATTAAAAGAACATGCATGATTGGAACACATAAACATATACCTGGAGGTGGATGAGGGAAATTAAGAGATGAATTTGTAATAGCACTATCAAATATACGAGCATCATGTGCAGATCCCTCCCATCCTGCCAAGACAAAAGTGAAACACATATCCCAGTCACATACAGCCATGACATTTTGTGATGGATATCCCTTTCTGCCAATAAATTTGTCTCGTTTTGCAGCGGGGACAACACACTGTATATGAGTGCCATCAATTGCTCCGATTGCGTCCTTAAAAAATGGGTAGTAACGTGGATCGTTCTCAATTTTTCTATGAGTTCCACGAAATGTTGGATCTATGGGTCGAATAAGTTCACTCGATAGGCTAAGACAAGCTTGCAGTACATTATGAAAGTGCCTACTTACAGTTTCCCCTGATCGTTGAAATCGTTCCTGGATCATCCTATTGCATTGTCCATGTGCAACCGTGTTTAAAAACATCGCAACCATTTCTTCAATTCCTACGTACTTAGACTTTTGTAAACCATGTTCCACCAATTTAGTACATAAGAGGTGGAAAACATCTTTATCCATTCTAAACATTTCATGACATCGATCATCATGCCCATTCATAATGCCTTGTACCCATAAATTTCCTGTCTGCTCACTAGTTCTGCATGGTTGTTTAAACAAGTACATTTCACAATAATGACCAACCAATGCACCTACTGCTTCATATTGTGTTAATTCCTCATTAATTATGGTTGAATGGTCATCTTCATTTGGCTGTGAATCGTTATTCCAATTCCATAAAGTATCTTCATTCCACGGTGAATCATCGTTCCAATTAGCCATTTCTGGAATTAACCCTGTAATTATGGTAAAAACAAAATGTAAGCATTATAAGAATTACACTAAACAAAGTGTAAATAATTTTCATACTGCAAACAGAAAAACCAAACGCATAGATGACAAGTAGAAATTAGCGTAAATATATTACATAATGATTAATAAAGTTCCTACAACATGCCACATCAGTTTAGGTTAAAACAGCAGGTAGTTCAGGTTAACAAGTGCAATAACAATAGTTAAACAGCTAAGTCCTAAACTAAATCCTATTCTGCAGGTCACTTCCATGTGTCTGGGTCTTGTGCTGCCGGTATCAACCACCTCAACAACTTGCTTCTATCATGCATAAGCCCCAAATAGGCTCGCCTAGCCCACCTCAACCGCGTAAGCATCTTGGCACATGCATAATATAGTTGATTGTCATCATTAAGCTCCTCAACGGTAGTCAGGTGTGCCAAAACCTTATCAACTATTTGGGGATCTTCGACCAATGCTGCTGCTCGCTTGTCAGAAGCAGCTGCTATGACACTCAGGCTGTCAGAGATTAATGTAGTTGCAGCAACTTTCTTCTTCTTCTTTGCATCTGATGTCTCACCCCTCTTTCTCTTTCCATAGCTTCCTGAGCCACTTGGTCCAGTACTTGCGGGGGTGTTTATGTTGCAAGCAGCGAAGTCATTTGTGAAGGCACTGGCTGTTGGGTCCACACCAAAGTTTTCATCCTCACTATCCCCTGACCCTTCTTGTTGGTCTAGCCCGACTCTATAAACATCCTCCTCTTCTGTGTCAGGCTGTGGAGCAAACGCTGGCTGAGGCTGTGAGGCTGATGGTGCGTACGCATACTCTCCCGAAGCCACAACATCTTTGAATATTCTCATCAGATCTGATGCAAACATCAGCCCCTGATGTCTAAATTTCTTGAAATTAGGGTCCACCTACATGAACATAATTAGGCATAATTAAGCACTGTTCCTTCTGATATTCAAAATTAAAACTCAACTAACACAAATAATTACCAGTATTTTTCGTTGCCACCACTCATCAGAGGCCAACACCCTATTTGTGGCTGCATCATAACCAATGCCAGTCTCCCCAGACATCAGTTTTTCCCACAACTTCCAATCTTTTCTCAATACATCGAATCTGTTCTTCAGTTGCTTCCTGTCATACATTTTCCCGCTCCTTTCCCGAAAATTCTTTTCAATTTTCAACCAACCAGGTCTTGTAAACGATGTTCCTTGTCTTTCTTTGTGCACTATTTGCTCGGCACAAACATCGATTAGAATTTTTGTCGTGTAATGATCCCATGTCGCTTTTCCCTTGTCATTATCCATTTCTCTACGCCCTTTGATCGAGATAAGAGCAACTAAATCAACCAAAGCCCTAAATATGTAATAATGAAAGCCGTATTATATAACACATACATTGTAACCAAACAAACATATATCACCAAGTAACACATTTTAATTGCATAAGCTGTTTAGTTTTCTTATTCAAAATTTTTTAAAATTATAAATATATAATCACATTGTCAATGTCCACTATTTTCCAGTGGTAATTGATTGTGAACATTTTGAAATTAAATTTTCAATATATCATATAAATTGAACCTAAACTACATTACATTGATTAATTTTTATCCTAATTTAACTATGTAGGAGTAAAATAAAAACCAAACTAAGAATGATGAACAAGATTATTTACAAAAATAAGTTATATTTATCATAATTAACTAATTTACCTAACTTTTTTAATATAATTAAATTAGTTAAATAAATATCATATTAGAGAGAAGTAAGAGAATATAACAGGAGAAAGAATAACATTAAATTTATTTTGATTGAGACTTCCCCAAATTAATTCCAAATGATTTTTAAGTAATTATCCACATAGTCCTTAATTTCTTTGTATAGTACAAATTAATGTCTTATTACTTTGCTCTATCAACTCCGTTAATTAGCTTTATCAAATGAACCATCCGGACACACATATATACACATATATACACCATGTTACCACCTCATTCTCTTCTACCTTACCCTCATAGAGATCAAATCCTATAACCAAAAAAATCAAGAGACCGAAGCTAAGGACATGCAAAACAACAACCATTGTAATTCCGAAAATTACAATTCCAGAGGTCCATATCTCGCCATTAACAACGTATATACGCAACAATTTCTTGAATCCTATAACCATAAAAATCAAGAGAATCCTATACGCCGTTTCCTTGAACCATTAATCGTTGTTTCAGCATTGCAAAACAGAGGAAGAAAATCGATATGCAAGTACAAATTTTATGCTACATTCGGTCCCTGTTTCGGTGTCACAACCAGTCGGTCCTCAACATCCAGCAATCATTAACAAATCCGAACTAACACACGATAGGAAATTCTTGAACCATTAATCATTGTTTCAGCCTTGGAAAACAGAGGAAGAAAATCGATATGCAAGTAGAAATTTCATGCTACATTCGGTCCCTGTTTCGGTGTCACAACCAGTCCCTCCTCAACATGCAGCAATCATGAACAAATCCGAATTCAAGCAAGATAGGAAATTCAAGGACGACAGGAAATTCAGGGAGGACAACAAATTGAAGGAGGACCGGGGATCAAACCAGAAAAGTGACATAACCGGCCAACCTGCAGTAGATCCAAGCTGCCAGAGGTAGATCCAACGGTATATTGCACTGGGAAGCCAAGATCTCCACGCACGGCTCAAACGCAGAGGCAGACGCCGGCGACGTCGGTTGCAGACGGTGAGAGCAGCTCCGACTTGTGATGAACGAACGGCATCCACCAAGCCACGGACACCTCACCCCAATAGCTGACCTCGCGATGATGATCGGATGGAGCTCACGGTCACCAGCGACGACCTTCTCAGACGCGACCACCGACGGACGTTCTCGAGCCGAGCAGAGACGGAAGCAAGCTGGGAGCTCGGGTAAAAGGAAAAGAGAGTCACGAGTTAGGGAATAAAGGAAGGCAGATGTGAAGACAAAAAAATAAAGGTAGAGTGTCAGAACGGTCATAAGCTGAATTCTCAGGGGCCAGAAGCTGGTAGGCACGAGCTTATGCCAATCGTGCGTTCAGGGGCTTTAAAAAATGATAAGCCCAATTGCCAAATTGCTCTGCCAAACGGGTCAAATTTTCCACCAAGCTTATAAGTGCTTATAAGCCACGTTTGGGCCAGCAAACGCTGACCCAAACAGGCACCATATTTTCCATGTCAACGGTGAATTGAACCTAGAGCCAACGAGGAGCCACAAAGGAAAAAGAGGCTTGTTGGGCGGAAGTTGTTTCAGGGTTATGTGGATATTGTTATCGACTCATGATTATTGGTTCAAATTTCGAACTGGAGTTAATTTCATCCAATTACTTTACCTTGGACCTTGTCATCCGAGTCAATGTCCTTATCCCTAAAGTCGTCGTGTTAGTTAAAATATACTGTGTTCCCTCTCCCCACCGCATCACGTGAGGGCCACAGCAGCAGAAGATCTGCGTATTCATCACTTTCCATGTCTTCCTTGTAAGGCAAATCGCTAATGGCCTCGTTATATTCTCTGCGCTTTTCGGCTTCTAAGCCATGTCCTCGGCCGGCGCCTCCGCGAAGTTTGCGTCCATTTTCCCGCCAAAAGCTTTTCACTTCAGCCCGGGCAGCTACGTCAGGATCTCAGCAACCATTGCTGAATTCTTCTTTCATCGATGGAGTCCATCCTTTTAATCTCTCTTTGTCATCCGTCCCCTCTAGAGCTAGACCTCTTAGTGCAGTTTTTGTTATCAGAGCCAATTTCATTGCCCCTCTGATTTCTCCTGAAGATCAATGGGGCACCTGGACGGCTCTATTCGCTGCTGGTGCTTTTGGCATCTGGTAAATTTTTCAGATACCTAATCACTATTCTCTCATTTCGATTTTTAAATTTGTGCAGAGAATTTCTGTAATGCTCTCAGAAATTTGTTTGCTTTTCTTTGTCTTTAATTGAAGGTCGGAAAGGACCAAGATTGGTAGCACATTGAGTGGTTCTCTGGTGAGCATTTTAGTAGGGCTTGCAGCGAGTAATTTCGGAATTATTGCCAGTGAAGCTTCAGCATATAAGATTGTTATGGGTTTTCTGCTCCCAATAGCCGTTCCGTTGTTGTTATTTAGGGCTGACTTGCGCCGCGTGATTAAGTCAACTGGGACACTTCTCTTGGCTTTCTTACTGGGTTCAGGTAATACCTGTTCATATTGGCTTTCTTGCCTTATATGCATTTTTTTTGTTACATACGGCGCACCTGATATATCTTTGTGGTTTATATATCATGTTCTGTCCTGTACCCAAGTCTGCATACTAGTATTGGAGTATGTGTAACTCATTAGCAGTTCCTTTATGCTTCTAGAATATATTCTAAGACAAGAAAAATTGCGCATAAACCCAAATATTCTATATGTACGGGGAATATGGTAGATTGCTTATCGTGTTTGCGTTGCAATCATGTATCAACAACATGCGATGAATCTTAAACAACAAAGTGGAACTTTTGGCCGAACATAAACTGAGAGAAATCCTGAACACTTTTCCACAGCGTAATTCTTGCTTTCATGGGATATTCTTCGCAATTGTTGTCTCGGTTAAGGGAAATGATAAGATAAATTTGCATCTTGGATCTTATATTTGGTTATGGTTTCACGTTGAACATAAAATAATGTTTTGAATGGAGAACACATGAAATAGCAATTACTGAATTTAGTACCCTTTTGGAATAGCTTATAAGTAGTTTTTGAATCGTGATTTATGGAATATGAGGTAAGTATATAAGGGGAGTTTCGTTTTGGCTTATGTGAAATGTGCTTACAAGTGTTTTTGAATGCTATCTCAAACAGGCCCTTAATTGTCTTGCTATGCCTTTTAGGTTAGCTGCCGACTTGCTGCTTGTTTGCTACCAATTTAGACTAGGTGGTCAATTGCATAGGCGTGATTATATATGGGAGATATAGAATTGATTTTATACCGACCTATGGCTCCCTTGAACCTGTGAACTGAGTGCACCTTTTCTACTTCCAATTCTACTGAATGAAACCATATTGTTGCTTTGCTTCAAATTAATACATGGGAAATTAGGTCATTTTGACTTGCTCTGACTTATGTGTGTACCGACTGGCTTGACAACAACATTTGCCTCATTTCAAGGCAATCAGGTTAGGATGGAAAATGAAATTTCTGTTTACAGGAAGCATGTAAATGTATTTTTTAAGATTTAAATTAGACCTAACGAAGAGTTGGCAATCAAGAGGTTGGTTATTAATGTCTAAGTTGTCTGTTGGTTGCTCTCAGTAATAAAAGATGGTATGGAGGAACAAAAGCTTCAAAATAGTCTGACAATAAAGAGAGAGGCTAGCAGCTGCTGCTGTAGCTATTCTATTGCTTTACGAATACGTGCACTGTTGTGAAATCTTTCTTCCTTAGCTGTGTCCAAACTCTTATGGATATCTATGGTTTCCTAATATTTAACCAGATAACTACCATCATCTAGATGGTTAATGAAGATACTTTCTCCTTTTCATTTATTGGCTTGCTTATTGAGCTTGAAGCTTCTATCCTCCTGTTTGACTAAAGATGATGGAGATCTCATGCACACGCAAGTTTTGCTCATGCTTGGTGCTGTTTTGTAGCTATACTCTTCCATGAATCTGTTGAGCTTTTTAGTGCTGAATTGGACTATTGTTGAGTAAATCAGTGAAGTGAAACTTTGTCATATCTTGGCTGCTGTTTGAATTTTAATTATGATTATTGACGTACTGTCATATAGGAACCATATTAGGACGTGAATTATGTGAAGTTTGGGTATGGTTCTTGGCTTGACTGGTGTTGCTCAGCGTTGTAATTAGAGGGATTTTCAGTGCTGGTGTGGATTTGTTAGTGTAGGTTTTTTAGTCCTGCTATTTGGGTAAATGCTGGTTTTGAAATAGGGATAATGATGATATTTAATTGTGGCTATCTTATGGTAAAGAAAACAAGGTTTGCTGACCTAAGCGAGTGAATCCGAAAGTTTGATTAAACTGAAGTTCTGGGTTGTCCATAGGAATCCTAGTGGGTCTAACTTGTGATCTGGGGCGATTAAGGCTGTGATTTCTGTGATGTTCTAATTCACTAAAATTTGCTTGGATCAAAATTGTTAAGAGCCTGTAAACAGCACCTTGGGCATCACTTCTTACACAACAAAGGGTCAAATAGGGAAGTTTTGGAAATTAGTTCGTTGAGAGGCGAAATGGTAGAATTTTGATATCAAATTTGGCAAGCTGTAATACCTCATACAGAGGACCTTGCAAACCAGAAAGGGAGGGAATCCAGTTAGGATAAGATCACATGATGACCTCCCAAATTTCATGTCAAAACCCGGCCATGGAAAACATAAAATTTTGCTGACGTGTTTCCTGATTGTAATTGAAGAATATCTTCCACGATCCTATGAGATCTCTCCTCCCTTATATGTATCGTCCTTCAGGATAAATAAAATATATTCATTCAGCACAACTTCTTTCAATTTTAATTAATTTTACTGTGTTCAAAATTGCTGATAACATCATAATGATTTATATAGTTGGTAATGACATTATTTCTGTGTGTGCATGGCAACCCTATATTTATAGAGAGCAAGAAACTTAGTTGGATTGTCGTTAAGGCTCAAAAGTGTTTGGGACGGTTAAAAAGGATAACTTCCATCATGTAAGCCAATCCTTAGAATAGGATATTATGTGGGAAATTGTGGGTATTGAGTTAGATTGACAAGAGCACAGGGCCATTGTGTTTGATAATGGCCACATCGAAGTTATATATCTTTTGCATATATTATTTAATGGGGAAAATGTCAATTATGTTCCTCGCAAAGAAATTTGTTTTTTGTTACTAGCTATTTTCTCTTCTCCTAACTTTTTTTCTCATCCAAACATAGGGTTAGTGTCTTTGTGATCGTTGCTGAACAGTGTAAGGCCTTCAAAATCTAAAATTAGCACTAACAGTAAAGAATTCTCGGATAACAATGTTACGAAAGCTGGATTGCCCGTTAGAGAGTAACTGTTTATTGATTTACAGGTTGTTGAAACAATTGTAATCAAATAATACATTCTTAATTTATAGTTATTATATCAAATAAAAATTATAAAAAAAATGTACAAAAGTTAAAATGAAAAAGTAATGTAATGCAATTGAAGCAAGACAAAAAGCGTAAGTAATGTAACTAAAAACCAACATATTTTTTACATAATTATTGATATATAATAAATTGTTTGTCAAGAACAAACTAATAATAATAAATTAGAAAAGCTAAATTAAGTATTAAAGAAAAATCAAAATATACTTGAAAAATATAATTAACATAGGGTTAAGATGCAATTTCGACAATAAAGTTTACTTTAAGGGGCACTGGACATCATAAAGGTTATTTGGGTGTAAAAATATATATAAAATTGTCAATAAGTTTTAGGGTGTATTTTTAATAACGAAGTTTATATCAAGGAACATTGGGCATAATAAAGCTTATCTAGGTGTAAAAATATACATGAACTTTTTAAAAGAGGGAAAAAAATAACAAAATCTATCAATTTCCATAAACGTTCGTTAATTTTATTCTTAGGTCTCACAAAATATCACGTTTTCTCTTTACTCATTCCTACTTCGTCCTCTCCTTAATATAATAGACTAATTTGAGAAAACTGAAAAAGTAAAACAGTTACTTAATTATAATAGATGTTATATGATTTCTTTGAAATATTTATACGCATCATTAGATTATATATTAATTTATAAGCCAATCAAATTAATTTGGAGAAAAATGATAAATATAATATTTTAAAGTAATTTATTTAATTTCTTTAATTTTCTCAAATTAGTTAATTATATCTTATATTAAGGACTAGAAGTAGTTTTTAGGTGCAAGCAATGAAACTCATATCGTAAAAAAGAAAGATGTTATTCTTGGCTAAATATATATAAAAGACTTAGAGGTTGAGAAAATGACAAGATAAAGAGAGAGGTGTGTGTATTGAGTATGATAAGAGAAAAGATGTGTGGAGTTGGGAGTGGGAATGGATGGAGAAAAATGTAACAATTAGTGGGACCTAAAAGAATAAAGTTAACAGATATTTACGAGAATTGATGAATTTTGTTATTTTTTAACAGATATTTATGGGCATTGATGAATTTTGTTATTATTATGATTTTTTTTAAAGAAAGTCCATGTATTTTTTTTTGCATCCAAGTAAATTTTATGGTGCCCAGTGTGAAACATCCCTCCTTAAATATCCTCTAGTATGTATTCGGAAGTGTTATAGTTAGGCGAATTATGAAACAAACCCATAGATTAAAAATTTAAATGTTAATTCGTGAGATACTGTTTATTGGTTAATTCCAGTTTTTCGGTTTAACTTTGAAAAATCATAACTAATTATAGAAAAATCATATTGAGGTGGTTCAAAATTCTATTTGAAGTTTTTTTAATTCCTATAGAAACAAAAATGTAAAACTGGACTTAACCTTTGCCAATTTGTACAATTTATTGCGTAAATTTTGTTGTTCATTTGGTAAAAACAGTACTTATCAGTTTCTTTGCCTTAACTTTGAGCATTCATAATTTTTAGCACACATATCCATTTTAAGTGACCTATCACTTGTTTTAAACCTTAGAATGTGCTCTAGTTGCTCACCAAATTCATGGGTAGATTCGTTCATTTGCCTTCCTTCTACTCTGTTACCATTTCGTAGCTCATTTAGGTAGAACTTGTTCCTCTAACTTGTATTAATAATTCATAATTAATTCTTTCTATATATAATTTCCATCCATGCACTAACTATTCCCAAACATCATCATAGCCATTTATACATGCTGTCATTGTTATTTAATATCACATAACATTAGTAGCATGTTCATAACATATAGTGGCATGTAAAATACATAATGTAACAGGACACATTTCCTAATTCTTTTTCTCTTTTTCTTGCTTCCACTTCATGATTTCTTCTCCCATACTCTTTGCACCTATTATGGTTGGTTAAGAGAGGGTGAGAATCGGGAGAATTTCAGTAGCGAATATTATTGTTTATGCATGCAAAATAAATGCAAGTGTATGATATATTTTCAAACCATTCATGCTCAATGTCTCATATTAACATGCATGGTCATGAAAAATATCGAAGAAACAGAGCATTATATTTCCAATTGTATCTCATATCACT